CGTGGTGTCCGTGAACATCTCCTTGTACTTGGTTGCAGACTTGCTCTTTGATTCCTTTAAGGTATGCGCGTGTTTTGGGGTGGCTTAGTTACGGCTCTTTCTATTAACACAAACAGGCCCTTTAAACAGTTCCCAGTGGATTGATTTTATTTTTTTTCTTTTTCTTTTCTTTAGTGTACTGTTAGAGGCAAAGAGGCCAGTGATATGCCTCCGTGGTTTGGAGTTGAGACCCTTTTAGTGGAGCTGTGTTCAGTCGCACCGACTTGAGCTTCTAGGTCAAGTGCTAGACACAGCTGACCTGTCGTTCAAGAGCATGAGTAAGGAGGAGCATGGCTCTTACACAGCCGTTTCTGTAGTGCAGCTACGATGATTGATGGCTGTCAGATAATTGAAATTCTGTTTCCAAAATGAACTCTGGCAGTATAACTCTTAAATTTCTATAAATATTAAAAGACTGTAAGAAGGGAACTGTGTCATTTGCTGAAACTATTGCATAACTTTTCATTAATAAAATAAAATAGCCATGCTGGTCTTAGAAATGGTTTCCTGTTACTGTTGCCAACTTCAGTGATTTTTGTTAAACTGAACTTTAATAAAGGGAAATAGAGCTATATTAGACTTAAAGGATTAGAGACATTTAAAACAACAGACTCAGGCCTCCATGACTCTTGCAGAATAATTAGTAGGCGTGGAAAGTTCTGTTTTGCTTGATGGTATTTATTCAGAATGGGTGTTATCAATCTCGTGTTAAAAGAATTTATATCTTTACTCCTGAGTTATGCAGTACAATTGTTCTAACCTTGGCAGGAAAGTTTAGAAAAAGGGAGGAGCATGTTTTTCAGGACAAGTTCAAATTCCACTGATCATGTAATAGTTTATACATAAAAAACAAACAAACAAAAAAGCCTTTTATTATTTTTCTATGCTTGAAGATCATTAAAAGTGTTGTTTCTGCTTAATGATCAAATATGGAAAACATTGTGACGTTTGTTCCTCTGTGATCAGGAACAATGTCAGGATGTGCACGCTCATCACTCTCATCAGCCTTTTATTGGAGGTGCTACCCAGGGCAGTAAGACAAAACAGATCAACAAAGGTAGCAATTACCAGGCAATAGAAATAAAAGCAAAAATAAACAAACGGAACCTATTAAACTTAAAAGCTTTTGCACAGCAAAGGAAACTATAAGCAAAACAAAAAGATAACCTACAGAATGGGAGAAAATATTTGCAAATGATGCAACTGACAGGGCTTAATTTCCAGAATATACAAATAGCTCATTACAACTTAATAGCAAAAAATCAAACAACCCAATCCAAAAATGGACAGAAGACCTAAACAGACACTTCTCCAATGAAGACATACAAATGGCCAATAGGTGTATGAAAAATGCTCAATATCACTAATTATCAGAGAAATGCAAATCAAAGCTACAGTGAGGTATCACCTCACACCAGTCAGAATGGCCATCATTCAAAAGTCCACCAACGATAAATGCTGGACAGGGTGTAGAGAAAAGGGAGCCCTCCTACACTGCTGGTAGAAATATAGTTTGGTGCAGCCATTATGGAAAATAGTATGGAGATTCTCAAAAAACTTTAAACAGACTTGCCATATGACCCAGCAATCCCATTCCTGGGCATACATCCAGAGGAAACTGTAATTTGAAAAGATACATACACCCCAGTGTTCATGGCAGCACTATTTACAATAGCCAAGACATGAAATAAACCTAAATATCCATCCACAGATGACTAGATAAAGCAACTGTGGTATATTTATACAAAGGAATACTACTCAGCCATAAAAAATAAAATAATGCCATTGCAGCAACATGGATAGACCTGGAGATTGTCATACTAAGTGAAGTAAGCCAGAAAGAGAAAGAAAAATACCATACAATGTCACTGATACGTGGAATCTAAAAAAGAAAAAAGAAAAAAGAAGACACTAATGAACTAATCTACAAAAGAGAAATGGACTCACAGACGTAGTAAACAATCATGGTTACCGGGAGGAAGGGGGTGGGAAGGGATAAATTGGGAGTTTGAGATTTGCAAATATTAAGTACTATATATAAAATAAATAAACAACAGATTTCTTCTGTACAGCACAGGGAACTACACTCAATATCTCGTAGTGACCTGTAATGAAAAAGAAGATGAGGACGTGTGTATGTATGTGTGTGTGTGACTGAAACATTGTGCTGTACACCAGAAGTTGACACACTGTAAACTGACTATACTTCAATTTTTTAAAAAAGTGTTGTTTTTGGAGACATGCTTTACTGTTCAGCTGACTGGTTGTTGTTTTATGGTCATTGAAAGTATAAATGAGAAAAACTAATAGGTACTGAGCAGTGTCTATGCACCAAGTATTTTATTTACCATGATCTCATTTAATCTTCACAAACACCTACGAGACAGTTTGGAATTTCCATCATAGGTGAGGCTAGGAGCAGGGCAGGTGTCTCCAGGCCGGCCCTGAGGGTAGGGGCAGAAAGAGCCAGTACCCGTGGTGTGTGGTACCTACAGTTCAGTTTAGAATGTTGCCAGCCTCCGGTGCACCCAGAATCCATGGACACATGGTAAATTTCAGGTGACTTCAACTCTCCAGTGTAAAAGGATGTCTAATCACACCGGGTGACCTAGAGCAGATTCCCCTGGGGGTGACAAGCCTGGCGTACAGCCTCCTGCCCCCCGTTCCAGCCTTGCTCTGGCTCCTTCTCCTGTTCCCCGAACTTGTCACTTGTTCTCTGTCACCTGATTAATTGCTGAACACTCACTCATTGTGTGCTTCATTGATCACCTGCCAAGAACTTTTGGCAGCTCTGGGGAACATGATCTCAGCATGCCTCCTGGTCAGAGTTGGGCAACTCGAAGTTGTTCGTGGGGGTGAGAACTTGGATTCGGAAGCTAGGACACACGCCAGAGGCCGGGGATGGGGTAATTGAGCAGCTGGCATGTGATATGTGGCGATCCAGAGTCAGTCTGCAGGCCGGGAGTCAGTTGCCCGTGACTTTGAAAGTGGTTTTTGAAGAAGATTATGATGGCTGGCTATGGGTTTTGTAGTTTGTAGATATAAAATAATTCCAGTTGCTTTTTGAGGAAGACTAAGAATGTTGCCAACTGATTCATTGTAGCGTTTGTTACACTGGGTGAAAATATCTCTCTCTGTAACTTTGCCCGTTCGGTTCTAGCTGTCTTCCTGTGGCTCTAAATTTCCAGTCCCTCGTAAGCTTGAAAGCATAAAATACACATCAGATTACAAAATTTCCTTTGCTCCCACCTCTCCTTCATAGTCTCTGAAAGTTGGCATTCTTTACAGCTTGGCTCTTGTCTGCCTTCTACATCATTCTCTTTGTGATGTCACGTGATCCCTCACTTTAAATGCCATCTGTCCTCCCAGGTTTATTTCTTCACCGTAATTTCTCCCTTGAGCTCCAGGCTCCCACCTGTGCCTGCCTATTCAGCATCTCTATTCGGAGGTCTAATGATCCTTGCATACCTAACGTGTCTGCACTGAAACTCTGGAACTCTCTTCCCCAAGCCTGTTCTGCCTCCTCCTCCTCCTTCATCTCAGTAAGTGGTCCACTCAGTTGCTCAGGTCTAAAACTAGAAGTCACGTTTGATTTTTTTCTCTTTCCTTCTTAACCCACATCCAGCCTATCACTAAGGCTTAGAGACTGAGATGTCTTCCTTTCAAAATACATCCCAGATTCCCTCTGCTGCACACCCCCCCCCCGCCGCCAACTACTCTGATATAATTTAACTTATCACCATCATCAGTTACTCAGCTGATAGGCATAGTCTTCTGCTTGGCCTTCCTAATCTCCTTGTGCCTTTCCGGTCAGTTCTACATATGGGAGCAAAAGGCTTGTTGTTGTTGTGGTTGTTTCAGTGTTAAACAGTTCCTGCTACTCCCCTGTCCAGAACCCTTCAGTGGCTACCCATCACACGCAGGATAAAATTCTGTGTCTTACCCTGTTTTGCCGGGCCCCACGTGCTCTGCCCTGGCGTTTCCTCCTGGCTTCCGGTCCTGCTCATTTTTCCCTAGGCACAGCTGCTAGCTTGCTGTTCCTTACATTCTCCAAGTTTGTTTGGAATCAGCTAAATTCCTCCTACTTCCCCTCCCCCCTCATTCCAACCAGTTCAGCCTTTAGCCAGGTACCAGAGGAGACGGATTTCCAGAGACGTAAGTTTCCAAGGCTCTCTAGTGCATGTAGAGGGAGAGGTGGCCCTAGAAGTTTTGCAGCTTTGTTATTCCACATTTCTGTAACTTGAATTGCTTTCAAGTGTAAGAGGGGCTGGAGACGTAGAGCTGCAGAAAGACATGGCTGGGATTGCTGGGGAGAAGTGACAGGGAGAGAGAACTGATCAGTGAGCACTTTAGTGAATAAGTCGGTAACAATGACATCTGCATATAAATAGACCCGGCTGCTACAGAGGACAGTGGGTCCTTTGTCACAGGCAGTGTCAAGTTGAGGGTGACCGACCTCCGGGGATGTTGCGGAGGAAAAAGTGCTCTGGAGGAGGGGAGAGTGGTTATTAAGGGCTTCCCAACTCTGTGCTTATATCAGGTCTTAGAATCTTCAGAGAAGTCATTCTCAGCATCCTCCTGGGGCTCATTCTCCTGGATTTGCTTTGGAAGCTTTCACCCCTAAAGCACGAAGCCCCTCTTAGGGGAGTTCCCACTATCTGAGGTATGAAAGGAGCTACCGTCAAGCTAGTCAGGTGGACAAGTGCTCAGCCAAGGAATTCACTTTGAGGCATTTTTCCTTCTCTCATTTTTTATTTAAAATGGATTTTGATTGATTTTAGGTCCAAAATAAATTATATGTATATGCACAAATCCCTGAATGGATTCTATTTGTTTATTTTTTATTTTTTATTTTTTTAGTGGAGGTACTGGGGATTGAACCGAGGAGCTCGTGCATGCTAAGCACGTGCTCTACCACTGAGCTATACCCTCCTCTCCCCACATAGATTTAGTTATTAAATAAGAGTGTGCTGAATGTCAGAAGTAAAGAGCATGATATTTGGAAATAGCCTTTGGTCAGAGTTTGCTGGAAGTGGGAAATTCACCTCGCCCTGTCCCTTAGACCAGAAGCTCTTTGAGAAATAGACACTGTGTTCCAGTGTTTCACTGAGGGTGGTACAGCCATTCCCTCATCTTTCTCTTGGAAAGACAAAAATGTGATTTAAGTAATAGAGAACTTTAAGTTACAAGTGCTTTTAGTTAGACCTGAATAAGGCTACCGACGCAAATGTAGATTTCTTATCACGGTGGGACGGTGGAACTTGGAAGGAGTGATACGGGGAAGAGTGACTTTTCAGGGCCTCCGTGGTACGGAAGTCCTCTCTACTGGACTGCTCTGGTAGCTAGCGCCCAGTAACAGGGTGCCACACCCCGAAGTCGCCTCCCACCTGACCCGGCTCCCTGAGCACCCGCCCCAGTCCCACAATTGCTCGGCACCCCACGTGGAGTCAGCATTCGGATGAATACACTGTTCTGACTCGAAGGAAGGCCTGAACCTCTAACACGTTCTCACCTAGAGTCTCTCCCTGTTTCTCTGTCTCCTCCAGGCTCCTGACTTTGCTGCCCCCTCTCCCGGCACATCTCTCTCCCTCTTCGAGATTTGATGCCTTCTTGATTACTGTTTGGACTTCACCCAAACAAAACTGCTGCTCTGACCCAAAAACCTACAGTTGGGATTATTTCCTGCACTGATGTCCTGTCTTGACTTGAGCCAGGGACCCTCCCAGGAGGAGAGAGGCGGCAGTATCACCTGGATTGGAAAGGTGCCAGGATCAGTGCACAGGTGTCACGGCTCGTCATCTCTTGCCCTAGACAATTAGATTAAGTTTTGCGCCTGGCCTTAGCAGAAGACCAGTTTATCTGCACTCCTCTTAAAGCCGATAATGAAGTACTAAAGAAAGGGAAAAAGCAATTTCTCAAATGCAGTGCACTTTCCTGTCAAACTCAGCTGCTTAGATGTGAGGTGAAATGAAAGATGTGTTTAACCTTCATATAGATGATGTTTGAAAGTTCAGACCTTAAAATGGAATATCAGGTTCACTTAGAGCATCTTTGTTTACTCATTTTTCCTCTTGGTAACAGCAGTAAACACAGACATAACTTACTGCGTTCTAAGTGCTTTATATATTTTGGCTAATTTAATCTGCACGGCAATCCTGTGAAGTATATACTATTAAAACCCCCACTTAACAAATGAGGAAACTAATACGTCTCGGACAGGTTACATCATTGCGCAGTTACACAACTTGTTTTGTCAGAGCTGGGATTCGGGCTCAACTCTATGACCATTTGTTCTATTGATCTTTGAATTCTCTGACTGAATTCTAAGAAACCTGGTTAACTGGTTTCTCAGACCACAGCTAGTTAGAAGTTACAGATTATCTTTTAGTAGCTCAAGGTGAAAAAGAATATGAAAATGAATATATGTATATTCCTGTATGACTGAAAAATTGTGCTGTACACCAGAAATTGAGACATTATAAACTGTCTATAAAGAAGTTACAAATTTAAAAGCAAATATAATGACCTAGGAGCCTCACTTGAATATGTCCCTCCTAATACAATAATTACTCATGAACGGGAAGATGTGCAGGGGAGTTCTGTATAATGTTGTCATAGCAAAGTAACTGAAAGTAATACAGTAGATCAGTAATGGGGAAAATGATTAGGCTGAGGACTGACTGCCTTTCAGACTGTGGCGTAGATACGACTCACTCGGAAATCTTGTTAAAATGCAGATTTTGATTAAGTTCGTGGTAGGGCCCAAGATTCTGCATTTCTAACAAGTTCCCAGATCATGCAAATGCTTCTACATGCAGCCCACTCTGAGCGGCAGGAATTTTGGTGTGCTCCTGATGTGTTTGTTAAGAACAGGGCCAGGGCCCGGGGGCGATGGGTGGGGTACCTTACCCTAGTCCAGTTCCTGGCAAAGAATCACATTTTTAGACAAGCTAGTGACTCTCAGCTATGCTTGTAACAGAATGAAAAGGAGGTTCAAAAGTGGGATCTGTACTATTATCTCAATTTAAATTAAGACAGATGTATGTGTGTATATAAATGTATGCATATATGTACGTGTGTATATGCTTAGCAATATTTGTGGGGACACATGCCTTATTTTCACAGGTACTATCCTCTGACTGATAGATTTACAGATGGCATACGTTTTCATCCTTATATATTTGGCATTTTTCAGTTTTCAGTCATGAACCTGCATAATTTTCTAGATATAGATTATAATTATGAATGTTATTACAACGTCAGATAACTATATACTCGAATTTGGTTCGTAACAGCCTAGCCTGGGAGGAATCATCTTCTTCCTGCCACCCACTTACCTCTCTTCAACTGCCCTCAAATCATCTGCTCACTTTTTTTTTCTCAATCAATGAATAAGCTCTTTGATGGTTTAGTGGGGGCTTCATTGTAGGGCTTGTTAGGTACCAACACAAATAATAAAGCACAAATATTTTTAAGAATAAGAAAAATAGGAATAATGAAATGAATACTTTTTTGTATTCAATTTTTGTACATTTTTTGGGTATTCAATTCCTAAAGAAAAAATATATTGAAAATAAGCACCTTTTATCTTGCCGCCTCCTCTCCTGGTGAGGCCTGCTCAGCGGGTTTTTTTTAGAGGGACAGCAGTTCTCCTTTCAACCTTCAAAGTTCAGTAACCAAATGTAAAAGTGAAGGACCTGACTCTTGCTATGGCTCTGGGAAGGAAGTAGCAAGGAGGCAGGATAGAAAAGCCCTATGCATTTAAAATCTCACCTTGCTAGAGAGGTGGGTGTTGGACAGAGCAAGAATTTCTGAAATCTCCGTAGGGGTGCTCTTGAAAATTTGACTGAACACCAAACTGTGTATGCATAGGGTAAAACCCCCCCGAAACTGGCAAGGACACCTTGTGAGAAATGAAAAATTACCAGATCCCTGTAAGATTGAGCCCTCGAGTAAAGGTTCCTCTACACAAGCCCTAAAAGAGCTTAAAACTAAGCCGCAAAAGAATCATGTTAATCCATAAGTCACAACTGTCTGCCAGAAACCCAACACTCTTTAAACAAAGACAAGAAAATCCAGCGCTCAGCCAGATGAAATAAACCACGGATTGCATCCAATCAGATATCACTAGGTAAACAAAGCAGCAGGAGAAAAAAAAAACCCATAACCAGGAGCCAATAGAAATAGACCCTGAAATGACAGAGATATTAGAGTGAACAGATAAAGACATTACAACAATTATTGTAGGTATGGTTCATATGCATGAGCATAATGAGGAATGAAAGAGAAGATAGAAGAAAGAAAATATTGGAGCACCCAGAGAAATGGAGTAATTGAAATAAAAATTTTACATGATGAGATTAAGAGCAGATTAGCTCTTTTAGGAGGAAAGTTCAGTGAACTTGAAAACTTAGAATTTAACCGAAAGCATAGAGAGAAAAAAGATTTAAAAAGATGAGCAGCAACTTGGTGTCTCATAGGATCATAACCCCGAGTATAACATAAGTGTAATTGTAATCTCAGATTTTAGGGGGAAGGTGAAAGAGAAAAAAAATAATGGCTAAAATTTCCCCAAATTTGAAGAAAATATAAACCCACGGGTCCAGAAATTCAACAGACCTCGGCAAAATACACACAAACACACCCCCCGCCCAGAGTACATCAAGAAAATTGCTGAAAATGAGTGATGAAGAGAAAATCTGAAAAAACAGGCAGGGGGAATACAAAAGTATTATATACAAGGCAATAAAATCAAGAATGGCAGCAGACTTGCCATCAGAAACTGCAAACCAGAATGCAATTTAATAGCAATTTTCAAGTGCTAAAAAAATTGTCAACCTAGTATTCTATAGCCAATAAAAATATCTTTAGAAAGTAAAGGAGGGAAGAAAATAAAGGAGAAATAAGAACTCTAAAGGCAAAAACTGAGACAACTCATGACCAGCAGACCTGCATTGCAGGAAATATTAAAGGAAGTTCTTTAGGCAAAAGGAAGATGATACCAGTTGGAAATTTGGACCATATGAAGGAACAAAGAAAGCTGCAAATGGTTCATGTGTGGATAAACGTAACATTTTCCCCTTCTGTTGTAGTTTCTAAAGAAACTGGCTGGTTAAAGTAAAAAATAATGACAGTGTCTATCTAGTGAGATTTATGGCATATGCAAGAAAGTAAAATGTATGACATCAATGGCTCAAAGAATGGGCTGGGGAAAAGAAAACACACCGTGGTACAGGGTCTCATACATGAAGTGGTGTAATAGTATTTTTTGAAGCTAGGTTGTCTTAAGCTAAAGAGAGCATCCACTAAAATGGTTTTCAAGAAAAGAGTTTTAACTAATAAGAAACCAGTGGTGAATGTGAAATGAAATCCTAAAAATTAATCCAAAAGAAAACAACAAAAAAAAAATGAAGGGAAGGAACAAAGAACAAATGGGCCAAATAAAAGAAAACCTATAATGACGTGGTAGGACTGCGTTTAGCTGTATCAGTAATCACGTTAAATGTAAATGATCTCCCCCAATCAAAAGGCAAAGCTTGTCAGATTGAATAAAAAGCCAAGATAGCCTTCCAAATAGGTTAGAAATAAAAGGGTGGAAATGATGTACAGTGTAAGAACTAAGTATGAGAAAACTGCAGTGGCTGTATTAATATCAAAGTGGGCTTCATTACAAGTGGTATTAATAAGGGTAAAGAGGTACACTTCACAATGATAAATGGGTCAATTCATCCAGAAGAAATAATAACCTTAAATTTAAATGAAACCAATACTACATTGTCAAAATACATGAAGCAGAAACTTACAGAACTGAAAGAAGAAATCGACAGATCTTCAGTTACAGTTGGAGATTCTAATACCCATGCCAGAATTGATGGAATTAGTAGAGACTATCAGAAAGGACATAGATGTACTTAATAACACTGTAAGCCAGCATGACTTCATTGACATTTATAGGACATTCTACTCAACAATAGCAGAATATGCATTCTTTTCAAGCACGCTTGGAACATTCGCAGATAGCCACCATATGCTAATGAGTAAAACAAGTCTCATTAAGTTTAAAATGATGGAAATTTTGCAGAGCATATTCTGTGGCCACAGCATAACTAAGTTAGAAATCAATATCAGAAAGATAGGGTGAAAATCCTCACTATTTGTAATTATATCACATATTTCTAACACATTGGTCAGAAAAAAAGGGGGTGATGAAAAGATGTTTTGGAATGAATCACAATAAAAACACATCAGAATTTCTCGGATGTATCTAAAGCATTGCTTAGACAAATATTTAACTTTAAATGCATATATTAGAAAAGAAGAAAGGTGTAAAATAATTGGTCTAAATGTCCACCTTAAGAAGCTAGAAAAAGAAGAGCAAATTAAAACCAAAGTAAGTAGAAGGATGGAAATAATAAACAGAAGAACAAAAATTGCTGAAATAGTAAACAGATGAACAACAGAGATAATCAAGGAAACCAAAAGCAGGCTCTTTGGAAAAAAATAATTAAACCTCTAGCTAGTCTAATCAAGAAAAATAAAGAAAAAGATGCTTGTTACTGAATTATAATGTCAGGATTGAAAGAGGAGGCATCACTACAGATTCTATAGAAATTAAAAGTGTGCGGAAGGAATATTACAAACGTCTTTTGGAAATAAGTTTGAAACTGACGAGATGGATAAAGTTCTTGGAAAACAAGAATTACTGAAATATTCAGAAAGAAGGATAAAAATTAGACTAGCACCATATTTATTAAAGAAGTTAATTTCCTAGTTAATTTCCTCCTCACACAAACTAACCAAACAAAACCAAAACCAAAACCCCCCAAAACCTCTAAACCCATAATCCCTGTTTTAAATGGTGAATTCTGTCAAACATTTAAGGAAGAAATAACTCAGAAAATAGAAGAAGAAGGAACACTTCTCAGCTCATTTTAGGAGACCAGCATTATGCTAATACCAAAA